TGCAGAATTCCGGATCTACTCGGCTCTGTTTCTCCCGTCCGTCTGCTGCTCTTGGTGTGGGTGTGATTTTTCTGGCTTCTGGTAAGGGAAAACAGCCATTAATTCCTCTTTTCTTTCTTGAATTGGCTTGGGTTTACTCTAATTTCTCTTGGTCTCTCCCAATTTCCGGTAGATTTCTTGATTTTTCCTTCCATGCCCGTCGGCCTCGCCCAAACCCGCCAGCTTCGGTTTTCTTGTTGCAAATTCTGGTATGAGACAACTTTTAAAGTTGAATTTTAAACCATTTAATCGTTGCCTGTGCTGTTGAATTTTCCTGTTGTAATATGGAAGAACCCGGTTGTTGTTGCCCCTGTACTGTTCGGGAATTTCTGTTGAAATAGGGAGAATTTCAGCAGCCTGAGAATGGGTTTTGGTTAATGGTTTATGTAGGAATATTTGTGGGTGTGGCTGCTATGATGTCCGGAAAAAAAAAAAAAAAGGAAAAGGAAAAAAATGGAAATAAAAGCCTTGTTCCCCATTATTGTCCGTGAGTTTGGGGAAGCTATATATATATATGTATCTGTATTTATTTGAGTATATATATATATATATACCCAATCCGGGTTAATGCTCAAATTTGGAAAGAAGAAAAATAAGATAAAATAAATAAATAAATGAAATTGCTTATAGAATTAATTCCTGGATATTTTGATTAGGTCCTTGATCATTGGTTGCCCTAGCACTTGGGTCGAGTCGTTTGTTTTACATGATTTGAAGTAAGTAAATTATAATAACGCCTTCTGATTTTAAAGCACATTTTAGCTTATTTTTGAAGTGGTGGCGGGACTAAACCCATTTTACATAAGTATGATCGATTTGAAATAAAATTATTATTCTTTTTATTGATTTGAGCATGCCTCCTTGGAGTTTACTTAACTGTCTTGATGATCTAAAAATTATTTGTGAATTATGATTTTCCTGTTAACTTTTGCCTATTTTGTCTCCGATATGGTCATGTTATTCGTGTGCCCGCTAGTAGGAGTTTTATAAATGCTAGCACACGTCGACATGTTATTGATAGAATCGGTTCGTTTCTGTTATTCTGAAATCTTGCTAGTGGGATTATACACTAGTAAATCGTGTGCCTGCCAGTGGGAGGTTTATAACACTGGCCATGACCTATAAAGGAGACGTTTATTTTGTTTCCGTACTCATACCTATTTTTCGTGATTATACTGGTTGGCATACTATAAGTTTAATTAAGGGCTATCCATATTTACTTACAGAGTTATCTCATAGTTTTTTCTTATCCACCATTTCAAGAAGCGAAGTCAAGGACAGGAAAAAACAAGGGGAGTGACAAGTTAGAAGGCCAGCCATCTTGTAAATTGAGCATAGATTTTAGATATAAATCATGATCTTGTAAGCTAGACTTTATCAAGAGATTTTATGATAGTAGAGCAAATTTTATAATTTTATCTTCAGATTTTGTGGTATCAAATTGTGGTATGATAAGTTCCGAGTCTTGTGCATTTGTGGGACCCTCTCACAAGTGTATAGCGTCTGCCATGTCCCCAAATTTGGGTTTTGGGGCGTGACAATTTAAGTACATATAATATGATATTGATAATTATATTAAGTCTCTAATGAAAATAAATTTTATGATAGTAGAGCAAATTTTATAATTTTATCTTCAAATTTTGTGGTATCAAATTGTGGTATGATAAGTTCCGAGTCTTGTGCATTTGTGGGATCCTCTCACAACTCACAAGTGTACGGCGTCTGCCACGTCCCCAGATTTGGGTTCTTGGGCAGAACAATTTAAGTACATATAATATGGTGTTGATAATTATATTAAGTCTCTAATGAAGATTAAGTAATTTGTTTGATAGTTTCTTGTTTTGATTATTTTTTTTTTGGCTGATTATATTTTTGTATATATTTTGTGTACAAGGGAAAAATACAATTTTTAGGGGAAGTTATGTTGAATTTTTTTAAAATTTTTAATGAATCATGGAAATTTAAGTACTTATAATATGGTATTGATAACTATATTAAGTCTTTAATGGAGATTAAGTAGTTTGTTTGACAGTTTCTTATTTTGATTGGTTGTATTTATATATATATATTGTGTACAGTGGCAAAATATAATTTTTAAGGGAAATTCTATTGAATTATTTTTAAATTTATTATGAATTAGGGAAATTTAAGTACTTATATTATGGTATTGATAATTATATTAAGTCTCTAATGAAAATTAAGTAATTTGTTTGATAATTTCTTGTTTTGGCTTATTGTGTTTTTATTTATATTTTGTGTACATGGGGAAAATACAATTTTTAGGGGAAATTCTATTGAATTTTTTTAAAATTTGTAATGAATCATGGAAATTTAAGTACTTATAACATGGTATTGATAATTATATTAAGTCTATAATAAAGATTAAGTAATTTGTTTGACAGTTTCTTGTTTTGGTTATTCTTGTTTTGCCTGATTGTATTTTTATATATATATTTTGTGTATAGGGGGAAAATATAATTTTTAAGAGAAATTCTGCTGAATTTTTTTAAAATTTTTAATGAATTATGGAAATTTAAGTACTTATAATGTGGTATTGATAATTATATTAAGTCTTTAATGGAGATTAAGTAATTTGTTTGACAGTTTCTTGTTTTGGTTGATTATATTTTTATATATATTTTGTGTACAGCGGAAAGATACAATTTTTAGGGAAAATTCTATTGAATTATTTTTAAATTTATAATGAATTAGGGAAATTTAAGTACTTATATTATGGTATTGATAATTATATTAAGCGTCTAATAAAAATTAAGTAATTTGTTTGATAATTTCTTGTTTTGGCTGATTGTATTTTTATTTATATTTTGTATACATAGGGAAAATACAATTTTTAGGGGAAATTCTATTGAATTTTTTTAAAATTTGTAATGAATCATAGAAATTTAAGTAATTATAATATGATATTGATAATTATATTAAGTCTATAATAAAGATTAAGTAATTTGTTTGACAGTTTCTTGTTTTGGTTAATCTTGTTTTGATTGATTGTATTTTTATATATTTTTTGTGTATAGGAGGAAAATACAATTTTTAAGAGAAATTCTGCTGAATTTTTTTTAAATTTTAAATGAATAATGAAAATTTAAGTACTTATAATATGATATTGATAATTATATTAAGTCTTTAATGAAGATTAAGTAATTTGTTTGACAATTTCTTGTTTTGGTTAATCTTGTTTTGGTTAATTGTATTTTTATATATATTTTGTGTACAGGGAAAAATACAATTTTTAGGGGAAACTCTATTGAATTTTTTTAAAATTTATAATGAATTGGGGAAATTTAAGTACTTATAATATAGCATTAATAATTATATTAAGTCTCTAATGAAAATTAAGTAATTTGTTTGACAGTTTCTTGTTTTTGGTTAATCTTATTTTGGTTGATTGTATTATTTTGTGTACAAGGGGAAAATACAATTTTTAGGGAAAATTTTGTCAAATTTTTTTAAATTTTATAATGAATCATGGAAATTTAAGTACTTATAATATGATATTGTTAATTAGATTAAGTCTCTAATGAAGATTAAGTAATTTGTTTGACAGGTTCTTGTTTTTGGCTAATCTTGTTTTGGTTGATTGTATTTTTATATATATTTTGTGTATAGGAGGAAACTACAATTTTTAGGGGAAATTTTTTTGAATTTTTTTAAAATTTATAATGAATCATGAAAATTTAAATACTTATAATATGGTATTGATAATTATATTAAGTCTCTAATGAAGATTAAGTAATTTGTTCGACATTTTTTTGTTTTGGTTGATTGTATTTTTATATAAATTGTGTACAGGGGGAAAATACAATTTTTAGGGGAAATTTTGTTGAATTTTTTTTAAATTTATAATGAATTGGGGAAATTTAAGTACTTATAATATATTATTAATAATTATATTAAGTTTCTAATGAAGATTAAGTAACGTGTTTGACAATTTCTTGTTTTGGTTAATCTTGTTTTGGTTGATTGTATTTTTCTATATATTTTGTGTACAGGGAAAAATAAAACTTTTAGGAGAAATTCTATCAAATTTTTTAAAAATTTATAATGAATCATGAAAATTTAAGTATTTATAATATGATATTGACAATTATATTAAGTCTCTAATGAAGATTAAGTAATTTGTTTGACAATTTCTTGTTTTTGGTTAATCTTGTTTTGGCTGATTGTATTTTTATACATATTTTGTATACATGAGGAAAATACAATTTTTAAGAAACATTTTGTCGATTTTTTAAAAAATTTATAATGAATCATGAAAATTTAAGTATTTATAATATAGTATTGATAATTATATTAAGTCTCTAATGAAGATTAAGTAATTTGTTTGATAGTTTCTTGTGTTTGGTTAATTTTGTTTTGATTGATTGTATTTTTCTATATATTTTGTGTACAGGGGAAAAATATAATTTTTAGGAGAAACTCTGTCGATTTTTTAAAAATTTATAATGAATCATGAAAATTTAAGTATTTATAATATGGTATTGATAATTAAATTAAGCCTCTAATCAGGATTAAGTAAAAGGTTTAACGATTTCTTGTTTTGGTTAATTTAGTTACAATTGCATAGCCTTTTTTTTTTTTTCATTTTTATTCATATTAAAAAATAAATTCAAAATAAGGGTATCATATTAATTGGCTAATTGGGATAACTTGAAATGTTCTTTATTTATTTATTTAAGTGGAATCAGATTGCATTTTAATTTTATTCATTATCATAATTGTAAATATATATTGGTGAATGTAATTTTATACATTATCCAATATGGGGAAAATACAGTTTTTAGGGGAAGCTCTGCCAAATTTTTTTAAAATTTATAATGAATTGTGAAATTTTAACTAATTTTATTATGATATTTATAATTATATTGAATATTATAGTTGCAAGTATATAGATGGGTATATAATATTTTTAAACTTTATTAAATGATATAGTATATTATATGATATATTGTAGGAAAGATTAAATGTAAAGGCCATTTAGAAATATGGAGAGGATACAACTGCATGGCCAACAAAAATTGACACCCAGCTTTTGTCCCAAGTTTTAGGTGGACCTTCAAAAGATGGGTGACTTTATGGCATGCCTATATACATGGACCCTGCGGAGCAAGGGGTCTCACACTACAAGCGTTCGCTGCATACCATACTTGATAATTTTGTTTAGTATCCCAACGGGTGGTCCAATTGCAACAGATTGTAACAAAATTACAAGGGAATCAACTGATATTACAAGAGAAGGTTGAGAGGATGGAGAGAATGTTTTTTATGATGTAGGGAGGGATACAGGAAGGGATGCAAGGAGATGGAGGGGCTTGGACAAGTGGGGGAGCATAATTGGCATTGTTTTCAATTGATCTTTATATCAAAACATCTTCTACTATTATATATGAAATGGATATGTATGAGATTGGGGCATAGTGCTATAATTAGCTAGTAGTTTAGATTATAACACTTTAATTATTATATTAGGTTATGTTTTATATTTATGTGTTTTTAGATAAAGCTTTCAATTACATGTTTTAATCTATATTTAAAACATATGGGTAATTAATTGGTATATTTTTTTCTATTAAATTATTTATAAAATTTAGATAAAAAAGTTTGAAACAAATTAAGCAAAAAAAGGAAACGTCAACAAATAGGAAATAGAATAACAATTAGGGGACTTCACTAACCTATTCGAAACAAACAAATTAATATGTTTCTCCTAGTGATTAATTCGGTCAAATTATGTGACCAAAAAAATCCATCAATTTGTTCAATCAAACTACTTGACCGAACTAGGGAAAGTATTTATTTTGGTCAAGTGTCTTGATCGAAATAACATGAACAGTAACACCCCATTTATTCTTGTAGAATTTGGTGGAGAGTATCGTTTTACCCTATGCATATGACTTTGGTCAAAATGATTGGCCAAATAAATATGACAAAAAAATCTAAACTAGATTGACCTGAACTAGGGAAAGCATTATTTTAATCAAAACACTTGTCCGAAATAACCTAAACTGTAATGCCCAATTCCTTGTAGAATTTGGTGGAGAGTATTATTTAACCCATATTACTTCAGTAAAAATGCTTGACCAAATAAATATGACAAAAAATCTAAACCAGACTGACATGAAGGATGGGACGGTTGTGACTTTGATTTTTTCAGTCACATTAGTTGATCGAAATAATTGGTATTTTGTTTTTTTATTGCGTTTGGTCAAAAGTTCTGACTTGCATAAAATTTTATAATGGTGATTTGTAGATTTTAAATTAGATTCTCCCATTTCCCATTGCATTTCTAATAGTATTTGTAGTTGAAATAAGTAGATATTTCAACTTTCTCACAAAACTCCATTTCTTCCTACTCATACAGTCTTCTTTGCACTTTCTTGATAAGTCTTTAGGTGAAACCAGAGACTAATTAAAAGTTGTTGCTACTTGTTGTGGTCTCAATTTAGTAGTTTTTGGGACTTTTGAGTTAAGGAAGGTATGATACCTACAATCTTCCTTTTTTTTCTTTTTTCTTTCTTTTATTTGACATTTTTTGAATGAATTGTTTCCATAAATTTAATTTTAAATACAATATTGATTGATTAATCAATTGTGTTTGACCACCTTGTGTTATAATCGATTATTCTATCATGTTAATTTGGGTTGATGTTAGTTAAATTTTATGTTTTAATTTTTAAAAAAATATAATTTATATTTAATCACAAGATTTTTAATGTATTTAAATGTGTTATTTGTTCTTCTATCATAATTTGCATTTTCATTATTATGGTTTTTACTTTTTGTGATTGATTAATTGATTTTATTTCGACTTAGGAATTGTGGTATAAATTTTTCGTTTCCGATGCATTTGTCCCATTCAAATAAGTAATTTCTCCATTTGTTTGAAATAGAAGTCTGCCAAACTACAATTATGTTGTGTAAATTTTTTCCTTTATTATTTTTTTAAAATTTAGTTTAGAGAGATATAAAAAAATTTATGATTAGTAATTGGTAATGTATGATTAAATAAATCAAATTATTTTTCATAAAATAATGATTTTATTATTCAATTGATTGATAAATATTGATGACTTTTATTAATTACTTGATTGATTAAAGAAATGTGATTGTATACTTTTATTGTTAAGTAAACTATAATTAATTAAATTATTTGATTGCTAAAAAAGCATAATTAATTAGAATGATTATAATTGATTGATTAATAATTTATAATTACATATTTAATTGCTAAGTAAACTATGATTAATTTAATAACTTAATTAATTATAAAATTATGATTTCATTATTTACTTGGATGATAAATAAGTATTACGATATTTATTTAATTAATTGATTTTAAAATTACTATGTGCTAAATGTACAATTAAGATTATTTTTAGAGCAAAATGAACAGTCAAAAATGAACAGTCAATATTACTTTGATAGCCAAATGGACAGTTAACCATACTTTGACAATCAAATGGATAGTCAGTCATACTTTGATAGCCTAATGGATAATCAACCATACTTTGACAACCAATATGATGGTATAATTTCTTTTTCCTTTTCCCTCCCATAATTTTTTATTTCATGTTGGTGCATACCATTTACTAACATATTACTTAATTTTATGTTAATTTACATAGGAATTGTTGAAGATACTCCTAAATCATTATGGGATTGTCCATCTCGAAGTCCTCCAAGGAAGAAGTTGATAAAAGCAAGGAATCATATAGTAATGCCCTAAGACATTCCATTTCCTAAAAAAGAAGACAACATTGTTTGCCAAATATGTGATATTCCTGGACACTTAGCTACTATATGCTTGCATTGATATGCAGTAACTTGTCAACTGTGTCACCATGAGGGTCATACTGCAAAAGTTTGCCCAAATCGTTACTGATCAAAAATCATGTCAAACCCATCCAAAACACTTGCTGAGTTTTCTGAAACTATTACAAAGATTTTAGGTAATGGTCGTTTGCGTCTAACATTTTCAAAAAAATCTTGGGATGAGGCATGTGAAAAAGTACGTTCTATTCAAGAATCATAGTATCTTTACCTAACTTACCTATATTTTGTAATATATTTTCTAATTTCCCTTATCCATGTATGAGATTAGGACATATATAGCACTTTAATTAGTATTCTATGTTATGACACTTTAATTATGATATTAAGTTATCTTTTATATTTATGTATTTCAATTACATGTTTTAATCTATGTTTAGAATATAAAGCTAATTAATTGGTAAAAATTTTCTATTATATTATTTATAAATTTTATCGAAAAAAGTTTGAAACAAATTAAGTAAAAAAGAAGACTTAACAAAAGCAAGAACTATACAGCAATAAGCAAGAGACTTAACAACCTCTTTTTGTCCAAACACTTGACCGAAGAAGGCATATTCCCATCCAACTTTGAGACAAGAAAAAGTGATCTGTATTTCAGTCAATAGACTTGACCGAAAAAGGGCAACATAATATCCCACCCTTCTGACCAATAATTGATCTTTAATTTGGTCAAAATGATTAGTTTGGTCAAGCAGAATAATCGAAATAAGCTAAAAAAAAAAAAAATGATCTTGCCTCAATCTTTGCCAGAGAAATTAGGGAAAATTTTGAAATTTCCCTTACATACAATTCGGTCATAATGTATGACCGAATTAAAAACATATCCCCGCTCTAGTTTCTGCTTATTTTTTGCGAGAAACTGGCTCAAAAAATTTTGGCCTTTTATTTCGGCCAATCATATTGACTGAAATAGTCCATGCCTATTTATATATATCATGGCTCACTCTTTTCATTTATTCTCAATCTTCTCTTCGTTTCTTTCTTCTCTTCTTCTTCAACTTCAACACTTTTCTTTATCTTTTATTTCTCATAACTTTAGTTAATTTTCTTTGAATTTCCCTTAAATCTTCATTTATTCATCTTTCTTTTTATACTACTTGTTAATCAATACTTATCTTTAATTTTTTTCTTCAAGTTTAATTCATATTCTTTAGTTTTTTTCTTTATATTATGTAATATTACTAACTGTTTTCTTTACCAATTCTCTTTTACCTCTATTTTCTTTAATTACCTAAATTATTTAAATTTTTATCATCTTATATATATGTTTTTTTATGTTTGTACTAATGATTTGAATGTTTTTTTTTTTTTTCTAAAGGTTCCTAAATTTGGTGAAGAGTGAGGCAGCATTATTGAGGTAATTAATTTCATTACCTTATTTATATTCATATACATCTTGTTTAATTGTTTCTTTAATTTCTATTTATTTTACATGCTTTACGTAATATGATTTAATTTGTGATTCTTTTATTTATTCTGCATTCTATTTTTATATGATTCTTTTTACAAATGTAAAGTATTTGTTATTTGTTTTATTTTCCTACATATATGCAAATTGAATCATACTTACTAATAAATAATTATACTCATAATGAAAAAACCATAACAGGTCAAAAAATTAAATAAATAACAATTGTATATAATTCATAATATTAATATCGAAATATTTTAGTACACAATTTTTTTACAATTTATTAAATAATTTGATTTTTTTTTTCAAATTTTGATATCTATTTTGGTCAAGCTACTTGACCAAAATAGATAGAAAATTTCCCTCCACCGTTTTGAAATTCCCCCACAAATCATTCATTACATAATTTGGTTTTCTTAAAAAAAAAATCTGAGAATATATTTTGGTCAAGCTATATGACCGAAATACATTGAAAGTTTTTCAATTTCCCCCTAAATCTGCAAATATAGTTCAGTCAAGCTGCTTGACTGAATTGAAATATGTTGTGAATTTTCCCCCCAAATCTGCTAATGTATTTCCGTCAAGCTGCTTGACCGAAATACATTGTTAATTTTCCTCCTAAATCTACCAATATATTTCAGTCAATGTCCATGACAGAAATAGTTAACTCAAATACCAAAAAACAACCCTTATTACAGTTAGTTATTTTGCCCGAAAAGGTTAGCTCAAATACCAAAAATAACCCTTACCTCTAGTTCGGTCAAGGATACTGACCGAAGCATTTAATTCAAATATTATTAATTAATTTAGTCAAATTGCTTGTCTGAATCCAATAGTCAATTAATGAGTTTTTTAAGGAGGTTTTCGGTCAATTATATAACCGAATTAATGATATATTTTGGTCAAGATGAAATTTTCTCCGAAATAGTATTTTGTATAGAGGATATTCGGACCAACAATTCGGTCAATGGGCTTGATCGAACTGTTGTCTATTCGGTCATAGTAGGGGCTTGTTCGATCAAGATGCTTGACTGAAAAAGCCCCTAATTTTAGTAGTGTCCACATGAGACTTGAAATCAAGAAAATTTAACAGATATATTAGTATATAGAAACATGAACTAGTACAGAATTCGAAATTTGAGCAGGAGCAATATTCGGAATTTGAGCAAGAGCAAGTGTCAAAACAAGAATATTTTTAAGGATAGTTGAAAATAAATTCCAAAACCAAGTATCAATCAATTTTCCAGAATAGGATGCTAACATAAATATCCTCCAAGCAAGGTTCAAGAATTGATTCCAAGAACAATGCAAGAAATAGTTTCAAACAAGTGTCAAGATAATGAGGATTACAACAATAATAATTCATATTTGGATTTTGGTACTCAAAAACAAGTACTAAGCGATCTCAAGAAAAGTTTCAAGACAGCTTTCAAGAGCCTCACAAGCAATTCCAAGGTATCAAGAGTTCCATCAATAATTTCTATTCAAGTGTAGTCTATCACAAAAGACCAAGTATCAAAACAAGATCTTAAGAGCATAGTGAGCAAGATTAATTTCCAGATTCCATACCACATCAAGGATAGGTAATGAGAACTAATAAGAATACCATATGGTCAAAACTAGATCAGGAAAATTTATGAAATAAGAATAAGAATCGTCCCTTGTATAACCCCATCTCTCGTCTCACCACGGTCCTAAAATCCATTTCATCTCAAGATTTTAATTAGCTCTAGGTATTTAGTTAAACCTAGGCTTTGATACCGCAAAATCTGTCACACCCTAAAACCGAGAGCGAAACAGACGTCGTACACTTATGAGAGGATCCCACAAATGCACAAGGCTCGGAACTTAATTCATATCTAGTAGTCCACTAACTAAAATCCAAATCTCGAAAAGAAATCTAGCTTTCAAAAGAAAGATTTAAATCCCAAAACCTAGATCTAAAAATACTTCGTCAAGCAAACCTAATTACAAAATAATCTAAGTGCAAATATATGAGGCTAGCCTTCTAGCTCATCACTCCCCTCGGTTTTCCTTCGTTTTTGGTTTTAGCACCTGAAATGGTGGACAAGGAAAAAAAGTATGTGAGATAACTCAGTAAGTAAAAATATGGATGGCCCTTAATTAAAGTTATAGCATGCCAACAAGTGTAATCAAGTATCAAGAAAAATGGGTACAAGTACAGGAATGAAATAGATGTCTCCTCTATAGGTCACGGCCAGTGTTTATAAACCTCCCACTAGTGGGCACAGTAATAATCAGTGTATTATCCCACTAGCAGGAATACAGGGTGAACCGGTTCTACAAGTAAACCTGTCAACATGTGCTAGTGTTTGCAAACTCCCACTAGCGGGTGTCAGTAATCATGACCATATTGGAGACAAAACCATGCAAGAGTTCAACAAGAAAATTAATCATTTACAAACATGTAGGAGCTAATAAGAAAATCATGTCTTACAATCCAATTTCAGATTTTCGAGATAACAAGTAAACTCCATGTAGGCATGCTCAATCAATAAATGATAACAACTTCATTTTAAACCAATTATGCTCATTTTTGTGTAAAATGGGTTTGGTCCCACCACCACTTCAAAAACAGTTCAAAATTATGCTTTTAAAACCTTTACCTTAAAGTCTAAGGGTATTTACCATAATTTTACTTATCTCGCCTTGTCGCTATACAACAAGCAAGTATTCAAGATCTCAGGCGGTGAAGGGGATTTACAACCTATATCACATCAATAAATAAACAAGATCACAAGATACTCCATGTAACTAATTTGATTTCTAATTACATAATCAAGTTCCTAATCTAAGGAATAATTTTCTTCTACACTTCTTGATCACCTCTACCCTTTGAAAACTTGCTAACATATATATATATATTCATATGCAAAATCATACTTAAATATGCTTAAAACAACTCCAAGAGACCCTACATATTGTGAATTTACCAAGTAGATTTTGCTGGGTAAAACACAATGGAAAGAGGTGAGAAATTAAGCTCTTAGCTATCCTATGCACAGTAGAAATTTTGGGCAGCAAAGTTAGGGTTTCTACCATTTAAAGTAGTCTTAAAAATGCTTGGAAAAAGCCTAAAACAATAGGGATTATCTGGGCAAAAGACAATAGCAAAAATAGGGTAAAACACAAGTTAGAACTGGGCAGAAATGGACAACATTTAAGTAGAAAAGCTGCAACAAAAAGGGTAGCCAATATAAAGCAACAACAAAGGGTTTTAGAGTAAGAAAATAGCAACTAAAGGTCTAGTAAAACCATGATGAAATATGGCAGTAAGTACAATAGGAATAAAGTAGAAAACATAGCAAAATTTTGGGTACTTTTGAAAGCAATTTTGGTCATATTTTGAATTGGAACTTTCAATAGAATTTGCACATAAAAATTGACCAATCAGGGTTGAGTGGTCAACAGAAAAATTGTAACCATAAGTCTTAGCATTTTATAGCCTCAGGAATCATCTTAATCCAACATCTACAGAGAATGTTATGATCAAAATACTGACTTAGGGTTAGGTTGCCAGTTAAGTCCATAAGCAGGAATCGAACTTGCAACAGCTGTTTCACCATGAAAACAACTTAATTGGGTTAAACATCCAACAAGAAAGCTGTAAGGCTTATCTCTTAGCTTTCTATTGACTCAAAAATGGACTTTATCCGATAACTACAGAAAGAGTTATGGGTAAAATACTATAGTAAGGTCATGCTGTTCGAATTTGTAGCAAAAGAGGGATCAAAACTAATGATGTTAGATTATGGGCAAAATCAAGGTGGAAACTACAAAAACACTCTCAAAGTTGAAAACCCTAAATGATTAGAG